ACAAACTGTGTCCCTGCTATAGAGATTTTCCATCACTTTCTGCTCTGACATGGAATACTTCCTGATGACGTTCCTATGAGAAGAGCAGAAAACAGCAATTCCAGGTGGATACAAAATAAAAATTAGATTAATGAGAAATAAAGGCATACAATAGTCCAATAACTATACAAAGCAAAGACATAGGGGGCCACATGGCTCTGAGATATTTCGGGGACGTGAATTAAGCAGTTTGATGAGAAAATTATCGTCGGATTAAAGAACGCAGTTAAAACAACACACAGAGCTTAGCGAATTGACGCCACAGGGCTTGATGTATCAAAGCTTCATTTCCCCACAGGCAACAGTCACATTCATAATTCCAGAAGAGGCGTGAGTCTGATCGCTAGCTGCAGAGAAGAAAATCTAGTTCTCTGCTCTGACATTGATGTATCGGGACACTGATATAATGGGGCACAGGACAAAGACACACCGATATTTTGGGGCACTGATACACTGATATATTGGGGCACAGGACAATGACACGCTAATATATTGAGGCACTGATACACTGCTATAATGGGGCACAGGACAATGACACACTGATATTTTGGGGCACTGATATATTGGGGCACAGGACAATGACACGCTAATATATTGAGGCACTGATACACTGCTATAATGGGGCACAGGACAAAGACACACCGATATTTTGGGGCACTGATACACTGATATATGGGGCACAGGACAATGACACACTAATATATACTGAGGCACTGATACACTGCTATAATGGGGCACAGGACAATGACACACTAAATATACTGAGGCACTGATACACTGCTATAATGGGGCACAGGACAATGACACACTAATATACTGAGGCACTGATACACTGCTATAATGGGGCACAGGACAATGACACACTAATATACTGAGGCACTGATACACTGCTATAATGGGGCACAGGACAATGACACACTGATATTTTGGGGCACTGATATACTGATATATTGGGGAAGAGGACAATGACACATAATATATTGAGGCACTGATACACTGCTATAATGGGGAACAGGACAATGACACACTAATATATTGAGGCACTGATACACTACTATAATGGGGCACAGGACAATGACACACTAATATACTGAGGCACTGATACACTGCTATAATGGGGCACAGGACAATGACACACTAATATACCGAGGCACTGATACACTGCTATAATGGGGCACAGGACAATGACACACTAATATATTTAGGCACTGATACACTGATATATTGGGGCACAGGAAAATGACACACTAATATATTGAGGCACTGATACACTGCTATAATGGGGCACAGGACAATGACACACTAATATATTGAGGCACTGATACACTGCTATAATGGGGCACAGGACAATGACACACTGATATTTTGGGGCACTGATATACTGATATATTGGGGAAGAGGACAATGACACACTAATATATTGAGGCACTGATACACTGATATATTGGGGAACAGAACAATGACACGCTAACATATTGAGGCACTGATACACTGCTATAATGAGGCACAGGACAATGACACACTGATATTTTGGGGCACTGATATACTGATATATTGGGGAAGAGGACAATGACACACTAATATATTGAGGCACTGATAAACTGCTATAATGGGGAACAGGACAATGACACACTAATATATTGAGGCACTGATACACTGCTATAATGGGGCACAGGACAATGACACACTAATATATTGAGGCACGGATACACTGATATAATGGGGCAGAGGACAATGACACACTAATATACTGAGGCACTGCTATAATGGGGCAGAGGACAATGACACACTAATATACTGAGGCACTGATACACTGCTATAATGGGGCACAGGACAATGACACACTAATATACCGAGGCACTGATACACTGCTATAATGGCGCACAGGACAATGACACACTAATATATTTAGGCACTGATACACTGACATATTGGGGCACAGGACAATGACACACTAATATATTGAGGCACTGATACACTGCTATAATGGGGCACAGGACAATGACACACTAATATATTGAGGCACTGATACACTGCTATAATGGGGCACAGGACAATGACACACTAATATATTGAGGCACGGATATAATGGGGTTACAGGACAATGACACACTGTTATTTTGGGGCACTAATACACTGATATATTTTTCTGTAAACTGATTGTCTGGTCGGACATGGTGGCATGGTCTTCTTGGCACCTGGCTCGCTCGGTCGAGAAACTCAATAGAGCCAGGATAAAAGTCAACAGGGAGGTGGAATGGTGGCCTAGCAGACCGTCATCGGGATTTGGAAGAGGGGTCCTGACGGGTTTTTGAGGGCAGATGGTGTGCACCTCAATGCTGTTGGCATTGATTTGTGGTTGTTGGGTCTCCAAGATGGTATCCCACAGGCCTTGCAGGTTTGGAAGGCTACATGAGCATAAGGGTTCACACTCGTGTGTATTGGCAGGGGTCGCTGGGTCTTTGAAGGCAGTGCTGAAGTAACATTTTTTAGGATTATGGGTTGGGCCCATTGTAGGTATGGGTGTCCCTTCTCAATTACAAGGTTATGTTGGTAATGTTGGAGTTAATGGGCTATATCTGGGACGACATAACTAGTATTGTCCCCGAGGCAGTGTAATAGTGCCTGGGGGCCTTCTCATTGGGTGTAAGATACAGCCAAGTTATTTGATGTGCTTATCAGTGCCTTTGAAGACCTTGGACCCAGTTGGGATCATTACTGTTCAGTTAATACATTGATTGTACTTGATGCATTGTTATGTAATAGTTGTTATATTAAATAAATGGGCTGCTATGGCTGTTTGACACCGAATGAAGAAGAGTTGTGTGGTTATTTCAGGTGGGGGAAGGTTGATGGGTGGTTGTCTTTATTAGGTGGCTAGTAAATGATTAGCCTCGATATTCTGCATGTCCCTCAGTCATGGGGAATAGGGCAATGACACACTAATATATCAGGGCACTGACACACTGGTGTAATGGGGTACAGGACACTGACACACTGATACATCGGGACACTGTCACACTAATATAATGGAACATAGGCCCATTACACACTGATATATTGAAGCACCGTCACACTGGTATTATGGGGTACAGAGCACTGAAACACTGATACAATGGGGCACAGGACAATGATACACTGATACATTATGATACTGACACACTGATACAGTATATATTGGGTTACAGGACATTCAAACCCTGATATATTGGGACACTGACACACTGGTATAATAAGACACTGGCAAATGGATATATTGAGGCACAGGACAATGACACACTGATATATTGAGGCACTAACACACTGACATAATGGGAAACAGGACAATCACACACTGATACTTCAGGACACTGACACACTGATATAATGGGGCACATAACACTGACACGCTGATATAAAGGGGCACAGAACACTGACACACTGATATACTGGGGCACAGATCATTGATACATTGATATAATGGGAAACAGAACACTGACACTGACATGCTGATGTAATGGGGAAAATAACACTGAACCACTGATATAAAGGGGTACAGAACACTGGCACACTGATATAAAGGGGCACATGACATGGACACACTAATACATCAGGACACTGATATAATGGGGCATAGAACACTGACACACTGATATAATGGGGAATAGAACACTGACCTGCTGATATAATGGGGCACAGAACACTGACACGGTGATATAAAGGGGCACAGAACACTAATATGCTGATATAAAGGGGCACAGAACACTGGCGCGGTGATATAATGGGGCACAGAACACTGGCGCGGTGATATAATGGGACACAGAACACTGACATGCTGATATAAAGGGGTTCAGAACACTTATATGCTGATATAAAGGGGCACAGAACACTGACACGCTGATATAATGGGGCACAGAACACTGGCACCCTGATATAATGGGGCACAGAACACTGACACACTGATATAAAGGGGCACAGAACACTGACATGCTGATATAAAGGGGCACAGAACACTGACACACTGATATAATGGGCACAGAACACTGGCACACTGATATATTGGGGCACAGAACACTAATACACTGATATAATGGGGCAAAGAACAATGGCACACTGACATAATGGGGCACAGAACACTGACACGCTGATATAATGGGGCACAGAACACTGACACGCTGATATAATGGGCACAGAACACTGGCACGCTGATATATTGGGGCACAGAACACTAATACACAGATATAATGGGGCACAGAACACTGACACACTGATATATTGAGGCACAGAACACTGGCACACTGATATATTGGGGCACAGAACACTAATACACTGATATAATGGGGCACAGAACACTGGCACACTGATATATTGGGGCACAGAACACGAATACACTGATATAATGGGCACAGAACACTGGCACACTGATATAATGGGCACAGAACACTGGCACACTGATATAATGGGGCACAGAACACTGGCACACTGATATAATGGGCACAGAACACTGGCACACTGATATAATGGGCACAGAACACGGGCACACTGATATATTGGGGCACAGAACACTAATACACTGATATAATGGGGCACAGAACACTGGCACACTGATATATTGGGGCACAGAACACTAATACACTGATATAATGGGGCACAGAACACTGGCACACTGATATATTGGGGCACAGAACACTAATACACTGATATAATGGGGCACAGAACACTGGCAACATATATTGGGGCACACACTAATACATGATATATTGGGCACAGAACACTAATACACTGATATAATTGGGGCACAGAACACACTATAACACAGAACACTGGCACACTGATATAATGGGGCACAGGATGCTGATACACTGGTATATCAGGACCAGGGGCGGACTGACAATTCATGGGGCCCCCGGGCAATAGGGGATCATGGGGCCCATGTGTCCTTGCCCAAACTCAAACTACAACCAACAAAGCCTATAAAATAGGTACCAGGGGCATCTCATGGGGCCCCCTACTGACCCCCCGCGCCCTCGGGCAGTGCCCGAGTTTCCAAATGGTCAGTCCGCCCCTGATCAGGACACTGGACACTGACATACTGATGCATTGACACATTGACACACTGCAACCTCTCACTTGTTACAAAGTTGCATCGGTTCAGTCAGATCACAGTCAGTGAGGAAGGGGGAGGGGGGAGACTAAGGAAATGCTTCCTCCTGCCTGCAGCAGACTGATGACATCATCTCAGCCTAGGCACAGTCACTGACTGGAGTTTTTCAATGATGAAATGTGGAGTTATTGTGTTGGAAAGGACAGTGTAGTTGTATGCGGTGACGTGTCAGGAATGTATTCACCAGGCTTGTACAGCTACTGAGAGCTCCACATTTAAACAAGTGCACTGTTTACATTACCTCTGTCCATAGTCTAACCCTTGTAACCCATGGCTCTAGTGTTCCTCCATCCGCAGTCTGGCTGACAAATCAGCTGACTATTGGACTTGTGAAAGGAATTTCTCTTCACGTGAACAAGAAAGAGGCCTCAAGCTGCGTTTATTTCTCTATAAGCGATTCATCAGGGAAGAAATTATCTCGCCGCCTGGTAAAAGGACCCACACAAAACCAGTGGGGCGCCAAAACTGTCATGTGAAGGAGAGAACGTCTATAGGATGGCTGCGTCTCTTCAACTCAAAAGGCATTTTCTTTGCGAAAGCCCGTGTAATGAGCGGTTAAGGCCAAATAAAAAAAACATGCGCGGCTTATAGGAGGACATAAGAAGGGATCTCTGTACTTTTAATGAGGATCTGCAGCCGCGAGATAAAAATCTGTTTTCAAGCGGTTATAATGGACGTCCCTACTTGTGAAATGTGTTCTTTTTGGTCCTTTCTCCACGCTGCTTCCCTGTTCTTCTTTGGCTTTTTACCCTGAAGAGTGTGACCCCTGTTCTCTCAGGTTACTATTATTCTTCACAGAGTCTGAGCTCCGCCTCCTGAGACATGCCTGACCTATCCATGCTCTATAGACCTTGTTCACATGACTTAAAGTGTTACTAAACCCACAACAGTAAAATCAGTCTGTATATGCAGGAAAGCATGCTTGTTATACTCACTGTGGAACCTAAGGGGTTAATACTCTGCATTGTGTAAAAAGGATGTTTGATCTTGTATTCTCTGATCCACCCCTTCTTCCACAGGCCCCAATCCATCTGCTGATAGAACAGAGCCTTGGGGGCAAGCTGCACATGCTCAGTTTGGTGTGTATTGCTAGATAGTTTTCTTTTTCTTTTTCTTGGAAGAATGCATGTGATCAGCACAGGGCCAATCAGCACTGTCCAGACAGATGGTCAGGGGTTATGCAGCCTCATAGGACAATCAGGGAAGAATGAAAACTCCTCCTACAAGCTTTAACTAGTGCTCGGCTGAACACTGATAAGTCACAAGACTGCTTTAACTGGTGATGATAAAAGGTATTCAGCAATTTATATTTACTAAAATAATTGCATTTCCATGTTCTGTGAACTGTGGGATACCAGATATAGTGAACGCAGGGTTCGGGGTTTAGTAACACTTTAAGTTTACACCCGTGTGAGGGCTGTATTTTGCCTGCACTGTGTTCTGTGCGTCCACGTGCTGGTAGTCCCATTTTAGGGACACAGGCCCTGCTTCCAGTTTGATATCCATGTGTGTGCAAGTCCTGAACAGAGAAAGTGAAAAGAAAGCCGCAAATTTTGGGTTGTCACCAGAACAGGACTAGAGGAAACTCTCTCAATGGGGACACTGGTGAAGGGATTTCCTCTCACATCCTGTTTTGATTATGGGACAGGAAGTGAAGGGAAATCTCCCTTCACACTAACACTAATCCTCACTATAACCCACACAGATGGAAAAAAAAATCCCCAAAACAACAGGGGTTATAACCCTCAATTATGCTATTCAACATGAAAAAAAAAAAGAGTTTTGCCTTTAATCCTACTTTATATCATAGCACTGTAGAGGGAGTCCAGTCCCATGACAAGTCACGGCTTTTTTCATTTACTTGTTGGAATAATTGGCCCTGCCTCTGTTTCTTCAAAGTCCTGGAGCAAGCGGATCACAATGCCTATTTGTAAAGCTAATGTTGTGCTTTTAAAATGTGCAGCTATTTTGGCTTTGGTAGGGTCATACAGAGTGATTATTACAGTATGGCTCCGTTCACATCTTTGTGCGCGAATGTTACAGGTAGAGCAGCCCATTCATTTTAGTGAGCTGCCCTACCTGCGAAAAACGTGGGGAAAGAAGTCCCATACCCTTTTCTGAATTTGGGACGCATTGGATCACATGGTGTTGTGGCACCATGCGATTTAGCGGCTGCGAAATTGCACCAAGGTTGACGATGCATGGCAGGTGCCATTAAGAATCAATGGCATCCCTGCATTTTTGGACCTCAAGAAATTAGATTGGCCTTCAGTACTTCAGGATTGATCAATTTTCAGATATATCCCATAGTTCGTGAACTCCATAACTTTCCTACAGACTAAATAATACATACTGATTTGGATCATTTTCACCAAAGAAATGTAGCAGAATACATCTTGGCCAAAATTTATGAAGAATAATTATCTATTTGCAAAATTTTATAACAGAAACAACAAAAAACGTTTTTTCCCCCAAATTTTCAGTCTTTTTGCATTAATTTAGCAAAAATTAAAAACCCCAGTGGTGACCAAAATACCACCAAAAGAAATCTCTAGTTGTGTGAACAAAATGATAAAAATTTGTTTTAGTACAGCATTGCATGACTGCGCAATTGTCATTCAAAATGTGAGAGTGCTGAAAGCTGAAAATTGGCCTGGGCGGGAAGGGGGTAAAAGTGCCTGGTATAGAAGTGGTTAAACAAAAAATATTAGTCCTGTTCACAGATAAAAAACACATTTCGGAGTTTGTCCCTTTGGAAATTTTCGTGTAGTCTAAATCAGATGTTGAAATTTGTGTGTGAAAATCGAACAAGTGTTCCTCATACTGAATTTTTCTTCCAATGTTCATACATGTGTGTTACGGACTGAAGCTCAGGTTTCACAGCTAATAGATAGAGTAGTAGTTCACAGGTTCAGGTCAGGTTTACATGAGGTTCAGGACAGGATTAGCTCAGGATCTTATCCTGTTCACAAATATGCGGTTTAGAAACGGTTCCCATAGAAGTCAATAGACTGTAATCCACACCTGAATCTGAAGCCACTGCTCAGAAATTGCACAGGACACCTTCTTAAACCCCTCTGAATCCGCACCGCCAGTGCACCGGACATTTGTGAACAGGCACCATAGGAAGCAATGTTATTTCACACGTGATGTGGATTGGAGGCATTCAAACCACATCCAATCCTGTCATGTTTCACATGACTGTCATATGCATTTAAGTGTTTTCTATATTTTGTCTCTGCTCCTCCCTTTCCTTTGGTTTAGTTAATGCTGTATAGATAGCCCTCCCCCTTTCCCAGAAATGCATTGCAGGTCTAGCCTCATGTCATGGAGCAGGAGACATTATCATCTTTTGACCTATTGAATGTTCATTGTTGTAAGATTCTCTCAGTTTATGGAATAAACTTTACAAGATCTACAAGATGTCTTATCGATTGAGTCACTGACTGTGGTATCCAGCTGAGGTTGAAGTTATCGCTATCTCATCACAACTGTAAGTTACAGAGATCACACTATCAACGCTTAGATTGGAGAGACAGAACAAATCCAGATATATGTGAACCGGGACTACAGCAAGTATTAGTGCTTGGAACAGTCAGTGTTAATTATAGTAATTATTAGTGAGAGGTTTAGTGTTGGGTTTACAGGAAAGGATAGTGTTAGGGTTAATGGGAGGGTTAATGTTAGGGTTATAGCGAGGGTTAGTGTTAGGGTTGTAGTGACGGTTAGTGTTAGGGTTGCAGTGAGGGTTAGTGTTAGTGATGTAGTGAGGGTTAGTGTTAGGGTTGCAGTGAGGGTTAATGTTAGTGTTATAGTGAGGGTTAATGTTAGGGTTGTAGTGAGGGTTAGTGTTAGGGTTGTAGTGAGGGTTAGTGTTAGTGATGTAGTGAGGGTGAGTGTTAGGGTTGTAGTGAGGGTTAATGTTAGTGTTGTAGTGAGGGTTAATGTTATAGTGAGGTTTAGTGTTAGGGTTGTAGTGAGGGTTAGTGTTAGGGTTGTAGTGAGGGTAAGTGTTAGGGTTGTAGTGAGGGTTAGTGTTAGGGTTGTAGTGAGGGTTAGTGTTAGGGTTATAGCGAGGGTTAGTGTTAGGGTTGTAGTGAGGGTTAGTGTTAGGGTTTGTTGTGAGGGTTAGTGTTAGGGTTATAGCAAGGGTTAGTGTTAGGGTTGTAGTGAGGGTTAGTGTTAGGGTTATAGCGAGGGTTAGTGTTAGGGTTGTAGTGAGGGTTAGTGTTAGGGTTGTAGTGAGGGTAAGTGTTAGGGTTGTAGTGAGGGTTAGTGTTAGGGTTGTAGTGAGGGTTAGTGTTAGGGTTGTAGTGAGGGTAAGTGTTAGGGTTGTAGTGACGGTTAGTGTTAGGGTTGTAGTGAGGGTTAGTGTTAGGGTTATAGTGAAGGTTAGTGTTAGGGTTGTAGTGAGGGTTAGTGTTAGGGTTATAGCGAGGGTTAATGTTAGGGTTGTAGTGAGGGTTAGTGTTAGGGTTATAGTGAGGGTTAGTGTTAGGGTTATAGTGAGGGTTAGTGTTAGGGTTATAGTGAGGGTTAGTGTTAGGGTTGTAGTCAGGGTTAGTGTTAGGGTTTTAGTGAGGGTTAGTGTTAGGGTTATAGTGAGGGTTAGTGTTATAGTGAGGGTTAATTATTTTATAGAGTGATTCTTAAAAGTATGTTAATCACTAAACCGCGCCAATTGATGCTTTTAAATATTCAATATTATATCCAATCAGCTGCCAGTTTAAATACTTATTTAAAACTTATTCCAAAAAATACCACTCCTAACATTGGTGATAATTAGCGGAGCATTATATATATGTGTCACATTAATTCCTTTTGATGGTCTCTATGTGCAAACTTATTTACACAAATATTAAGTGACATAAATTATATGTGACATAAAAATATATGTGACAAAA